TGGCAGTAATGCCGAGTTCCGCACGCACAGGCGCAAAGACTCGTGCACAGTCACAGAGTCAGGATGCCGGTGTGCCACGAGAGCATTGGGTTTGTCCAAGATCGTGCAGCCGAGCTCCTTATGTGCACGCGCGCATGCGTGTACATACACGCGGGCGTGTACCTGCGGCCTGCGTACAATAGGTGCACGATGAGTGTATCTGCGTGCACAGATGCACATGACCGCATGCGTGCATGTGTATGTGCGAGCATACGTGTGTACGTGCGCGCACGTTGTATGTGCGGGGTACGCGTGTATTGTGCACGACGACGGTTACGTGCGCGCACGCGTACGTGCGCGCACGCATTACGGCGCACGCATGCGGTGTCGTGCACGCACGCGTGCTATGCGCACGCACGCGTGGCACGCACGCACGCGTTGCGCACGCACGCTGTGTATGCGGCACGCATGCGTGTATTGCGCACGCATTGCGTGTACGCGCCACGCATGCGTGTAGTGCGCCGCATGCGTGTACGCGCACGCATGCGTGTACGTGTGCACGCATGCGTGTACGTGCACGCACGCGTGTACGTGCACGCACGCGTGTACCTGCACGCACGCGTGTACGTGGTTAGGGTAGGGGTTAGGGTGAGGGTATATATATATATACCCTAACCCTATATATATATATACCCTAACCCTAATATATATATATTAGGGTTAGGGTATATATATATATAGGGTTAGGGTATATATATATATATACCTCACCCTAACCCTAACCGTGCGTGTAGGATATATATAAAAAATATAGGGTTAGGTATATATATATATATATTAGGGTTAGGGATATATATATATATATATATATAGTATATTACTATATATATATATATATATATATATATATATATACCCTAACCCTATATATATATATATATATATATATAATACCCTAACCCTATATATATATATATATATATATACCTAACCCAATATATATATACCCTAACCCTATATATATATATATATATATACCCTAACCCTATATATATATATATATATATATATATATATATATACCCTAACCCTATATCCAAACGCCCCCGCGTACGTTCGCGGTCGACACTGACCGCTGCGATCGAGTCGCGCCAAACTCGCAGTCGTCAGTTGTAAACGCGCCTGCACACAGTTCATAGAACGGTTGATAGAGATCACGGTGCGAGGTGCAGAGATGCAGGGTGTCAGTGGTGGTCACTATAAGGTTACAGACGGCTGGTCAGCACTCACTGACTCAGCAGTAGCGGACGTGGCGGCAGCCTAGCTTACGATATGATCCCGTCGTCCGCCCCCCCCCCGCTCTCTCTCTCTCTCTCTCTCTCTCTCTCTCTCTCTCTCTCTCTCTCTCTTCTCGCTCGTCTCTCTCTCTCTCTCTCTCTCTCTCTCTCTCGCTCTCCCTCTCTCTCTCTCTCTCTCTCTCTCTCTCTCTCTCTCTCTCTCTCTCTCTCTCTATCTCTATCTCTCTCTCTCTCTTGCTCTCTCTCTCTCTCTCTCCCTCCCACCTCTCTCTCTCTCGCTCTCCTTCTCCTCTTCTCTCTCTCTCTCTCTCTCTCTCTCTCTCTCTCTCTATCTCTATCTCTCTCTCTTGCTCTCTCTCTCTCTCTCCCTCCCACCTCTCTCTCTCGCTCTCTCTCTCTCTCTCTCTCTCTCTCTCTCTCTCTCTCTCTCTATCTCTCTCTCTTGCTCCCTCTCTATCTCTCTCCCTCCCACCTAAGTTAGCAGTAATACTACAAGGACTGCAAGATCAACGGAGTTAACATCACGCAAGATTCATGCAAACTTCATGTCTGATTGCTATAACGTACATTGCTATAACAATCGTGGTGCCCATGTGTAAGATTGTGGTAACACTGTATAAGAATCTGTGATACATTGTATATAACAATGACGTATAACATTGTATAACAATCATGGTAACATTGTATAAGGACCAGTACACACCGCGTACACAAACTTCTAGAGGAGGAAAACAGCGACTCGAGGAAGGAGTTTATGCAACCGTAATCCAACATAATCATTGCTCCGCCACCCCGTCTCTAAATCCCACTCACTGATCCTCATCCGCATCCCCAACATCCTTCTCTTCTCCCTGTTCTCCTCTCCGTTGCCGCCGCCAACAAGAAACAGCAGAACAAACAAACAACAACAACAACAATAACAACTTACGATGACGACGATAGGCACATCCCGCCTCCGTACAGACAGAACTCACAGATGATTGTATAACAACTCTGCGGGTTCAGGCACAGGAAGCGTAACACGACTCTCTGTGGCATAAAAGCCGAGGTTCCGCACGCACAGGCGCCAAAGACTCGTGCACAGTCACAGAGTCAGAGATGCCGTGTTGCCACGAGAGCATTGGGTTTGTCCAAAGATCGTGCAGCGAAGCTCCTTTATGCTGGCACGCGCGCATGCGTGTACATACACCTGCGGCCTGCGGTACAATAGCGTGCACGTGAGTGTATCTGCCGTGCACAGATGCACCATGACCGCATGCGTGACATGTGTATGTGCGAGCATACGTGTGTACGTGCGCGCACGGGTGTATGTGCGGGTACGCGTGTATGTGCACGCACGCGTTGTACGTCGCGGATGCGTGTACGCGCACGCATGCGTGTACGTGCACGCACGCGTGTATGCGCACGCACGCGTGTCATGCGCCACGCGATGCGATGTACGCGGCACGCATGCGTGTACTGTGCCACGCACGCGTGTACCTGCACGCACGCGTGTACGTGGTGTGTGTGTGGTTAGGGTAGGGGTTAGGGTGAGGGTATATATATATATACCCTAACCCTATATATATATATATATACCCTAACCCTATATATCATATATATATACCCTAACCCATATATGTATATATAGGGTTAGGTACTATATATATTATATATGATATTATATAGGGTTAGGGTATCCTATATATATATATTTAGGCCGTTAGGGTATAATATATATATATATATATAGTATACTCTTACACATATATATATATATACACATATATACACTCGCCTTTCTCCGTATCTTTCTCTTGCCCACTTCCTTACTCCCCTCTCGCGGATGGTATCGCCCATGACCAGTCAAGCATAAAAAACTTTTGCATGTAAATGGCCGTATTTCAGCCGAACATTTTTCATCTCGCGAGACACAAAATGTGAATTTACGCCTATAATACACGCGCACGCGTGCGTGTAACCATACCCGCGTGTGCGCGCCCGGTCGCGTGTGTGTATGTGTGCTTGTGTGACTGTAAAAACGCGTATTATAGCCGTATAATCATATTTTGTGCTTTGTGAGGGTGAAAAAGTCGAGGCTGAAAACTAGCCATTTGCCTGGCTAACTTTTCACCGTGAAACGATGTCATAGGCGATACCATTTGGGAGAGGGGGATCACTTATTCCCAACAGAATATAACCTGATAGGATATAGATTAAAGTACGTGTACCATATAAATAGATAGACATATCAGATATAGATATAGATAGAAATTGATTGAGATTGATTAGTAACAGATATTGAATGAAAAGGTATTTTCTTGGTTTTTCGTGTGGTTGATTCTATATTGTACATTATAACTGCTAGGTACTCGGTACATGGTTCCCACAAGTGTGAATTAATTTTTCAAAGACTTTTCAAGGACATTTCAAGAATATATGTGTATTTCAACCACAATCTGTGACAAGTAGTTTTAGCATTTTAGAGTCATCATATCTACCTTTTCATATATAAAGTAAAAATAGTTGTTTTTACACCCTAATTCAATGAGAGCAATCCTTTCTCTATAAATTTCTTGCTAATATTACTTGTTGAGCTGGTGAAATTAAAGATCTTCTTCAGCCCCGATCCCATGCATGGACAAAACAATTAAGGGCCAGATTCTCTTTGTCCCAAATCTTTACAAATAATAACAAATAATAAATAATATTAAATTTACTCAAAAATTCACGGAACAGTATCTGCTAAAACTCGTTTGTTTTCCCTCTTTTTAGTCATGGGTGGCATGGGCAGGGATCTTAACTATATGCTGACTATTATAAAAAGAAATTAATACGTACTCAGTGTATATTTTCCTACACACAAATTACACACAAACGGACACAATTGTGTAGCAAAACATGAACAGAGTAATAACTAAATATTAAAATGATGGTCTTAGCCCCCCACACCACCTGCACGTAACAATTAGGGACAAAACAAACTACTTTGGTAGAGTACATTAGTAGACAATGACATGTGAATTTTGGATGAAATTTAACATTTTTATCGAAGACTTAGAATAGGGTCAGTCAGATAACCAGCAATGAAGATTTGCTTTTTATTTTAGGTCAAAAATGTAAAATAAGGACTTGGACCCATTTCCAAGAACTTTCAAGGACAAAGGACAAAATTCAAGGGCAAAGGACAAAATTCAAGGACTTTCAAGGGCTGTGGGGACCCTGAGCTCCCAAAGCTATGGTAAAAATTATTATCCAATACTGCTCATTTATTCATTGTCTGAATATCTATATCTATAAAACCTGCATCTACACTACCAGGAATATTATACATCTGTTATACAAGTTATTGTTACATATTGTACATATTGCAATTATTGCACACAGAGAAACCATCAAAATGTGGCAAAACCGTCCATGTAAACAGTGTGCAATATTTTCAACTTTTCAGTTCATTTCATAGTCACTATACATTAATTAATATTTAAACAAAATATTTGCAAACAATTTACAGCAGCATCTTTGCGCACGCTAGACCGTACGCATTTGTGCTCTCCTAACACGTCGCAGCCACTGTATGGCTGTCTATGTGGGTCTGTGCAACTGCAATAGCAGCCTTCATCAGATCCTGCTCCTGCTGAACATCACAGTCATCCATGCTTTCTTCTTGTTTGTTAGCAGGCGACGCTACTTTGTTCAGCGACGCTAGGATGCATGTCATCGCATCGAGCAGTGCTGCCATCTTCTGGTTCTTTACTGTAATTTGGAAGGTACAACAAGATGAGCTAAATACCTAATCAGTGGGGACTCAAAAACTAACGCCTATATCCTTTTAGTAGCCTATTACGCAATAGTGTTACGAGTAAAGTGATTTTTTTACCTGAACTCAAACAACTAAACACAATAAAACACCAACAAGGATAAAAATAAACAGTAAACAACTGAAAATTAATTTCATTATATGACAAACCAAGTGTACCATCATGACAAGTGAAAAAAAACAGCCTAGCTAGTGTACATTGCACTGTCATGACTCACCGGTCTTGAGGACATCTATTAACAGAATGACAGCATAGTGCTCAGCCACTGTTTGGAAGATTCCCTCTTCCTGCAGCCAGTCCTGAAGCTGGCTCAGCATAGCCAATAGCAGCGATGTCCGCGAAGTGATGATGAGCAGGAAAAACTGTGACACGGGCGGCATTGCAGATATCGATGTGAAGCCTTCGACATGCTGTTCCTGTACAAACACATGAGCAATGAACACCTACGTACATACATGTTAGCAATGAACACCCACGTACAGACAGGTAAGCAATGAACAATGACTTATAGACAGGTAAGCAATGAACACCTGCATATAGACAGTTTAACAATGAACAGTTATGGGCGGATAGGTCAGCAATGAACACTTGCGTATAGACAGTTTAGCAATGAACAGTTATTGACAGATAGGTCAGCAATGAACACCTGCATACAGACAGGTTACAGACGTAGTTACAATACAGATGGCGCCAAACATTCCTACCTTTTTGACGTAGACTGCAAGCTCAGCAAGCATCGCCGTCAGTAATGTGCCGATTACATCGACATAGGGGCCGCCATTAGCATGCATGGAGCGTCGATGGTAGAGCAGGATCGTTTCCATGAAACCCAGTCGGACTTCTGCCATCAGCTGCAACGAAAATTACACGGATGACAACACCATCTATATAGTACGATCAGTGTATGTATCATGCCAGATAAAAGGCAAGTGGCTGTAGGCACACGATGTATGGGTGGCAAATTCGGGTGATTAGAAAAATATTTAGATTACAATTCACGGATAGGTTAGTCGTGAAGACATTGAACTGGCAAAGTAACCAAGCATCATTATTTACCCTGTCATACCTTGTAACCACATCAATGCGAGTGTAGCAATGAAATGTTAGTGTTGTTAAGTCATGAGTGGTCGATGTTGGGCAGATAGATAAGTAAAGTCTTAACTCACAACAAAACCACCCTTTACTCAGGTACAAACTAAAGTTGTATCCAAGAAGAGGAGGCAACCAGGTATTTCTCTTTCCCTGGTCAGCCTCATTAATATCCTCAGCATTTGGCCTCATAATATCCTCAGCAATCTACTTTGCAGTTTCAGCAAAGTACAAGAGAGCATTAATACCAGTTAGACTGGGTCGCAGCAGTGATCGCACGAGCGTAAGTTGTAGGAGCTCACCTGCTCTGCCTCCTCAGGTTTCCTCCTCACAAGCTTCCCCATCGTTAGCGTGATGCGATCGAGCATCGGCCCGACGAGGTGACCGCATCCCGCATCCCGCTCCTCAGCATCCGCCGCGGCTTCGCCACTGCACGAGACGTCTGCCAGCTGATACATGACGCGCACGATGGAAGACATTGCCTTGTAGCCATCATCTGCAAACACAACATGACGCAATGAGAGTGCTGCCTACAGTATTTCGAATACTAGCCAATACAATAGAGCGCCTACGATTGGCAACAGCGAAGGGAAGCCTGGGGTAGGGGACAGGGAGAGAAAAAACCCTATATACTGTATACGCCATATTTTTCGTGAATTCAGGCTTGACGGACAATTTCGCGAGTGGTTAATTTCGCAGTCGGTGAATTATGAAATATTCGCGTGTTGTTATTTTGTGGTCGGGGACGCATTCGCGAAATTCGCGTAAATTAAACCACTGCAAAATATACAGCGTATACAGTAGTAGTAAGGTAGAGGACGGAAAAGACCGGAGCTGGGGAGTGGGCAGATGATACTGGGTGAGTTTGCGACTGTGCTGGCGAAGTAATAAAGACAATTCTGCTGTGAATGGTTGTTCGCCTTTTTGGTTACTACGCAAGACATTCAACCCTGCAGTTCTCACCTGTCTGCATGATGGCTGACACAAACGTGTAAGTCTGCTGGGCAAACTCCTGATCACCTATTCCACACTGGATTATGTCAGCACTCATGTCCACAATCCCCTGCAACATTAACAACACAAAAACGTTAGCAGCCATTTTACCTCATAACAACTCGTGTACTAAACCGAGTAACAACAGTTTCAACAACTGTTGATCTAGCGATCAAGCTAAGCGAAAGTTTCCTGAGCTTATCTCGAGACAGCAGCAGGTGAAACGAGCCAGAAATGCAATCAGCAGGTGCTGGCAACAGCCCACGTGTCGTATGGGAAGGTTCTGGGTGCTTGGAAAATTTTGTAGACGTAGGACAGCTTGTATGTTCTGTTGTAATGCAAGGATAGGTGAGAATTGATCATCAGAATATCCAGAAAATCATCCATATACTACCTACATTCTGGAAGTAGATGTAGGCTAGATAGTACCTTAATAATGTCACAAGCCAAAGAATCATGACTTTTCTCTTTGTTGGTATCCACAGTGTCTTCCATTACAACCCGTGTATTGTCTTGCTTGAGAAAAGGAAGCAACTCTCTATCCGCCCATGTGAGAATTTCCTCCATAGCTGTCACAGCATTGGTGATTTTGTTCTGTTTGAATCAGACAAAAAACGACCTCAACAAAACATGCTCGTTGTCTCGTGATATTTCACAATCTGTGAAGGCTTAACTGATAACACAGTACCGCAACTTGATCGCACAGGTTCGGCGGATTACAACCAAGTTTAAACAAAACACATATAAAAACACACATACATCACTGCAGATAACAGTTAGAAGCTGATGTAGGCAGTCAGCACAAACTTACGCTGAGAGGGTCTATGTCCCCAGGGTACTGCCGGAACGTACCCTGGTACTATCTAATATGCCTGACCGTCCCTCGCCTACTCCACTAAGTAGTCTAGGGAGTCGCCTACGCCTACTCCCTAACCCTAACCATATCAGATAGTTACCAGGGTACGTTCTGGTATACCGGACCGTACCCAGGGTACTACTCCCTAACCCTAACCATATCAGATAGTTACCAGGGTACGTTCTGGTATACCGGACCGTACCCAGGGTACCCTCCGATAGTAACCTGGGGGACATAGACCCTATGAGCATGAACTTACGGTATCATGTAGCAGCACCTCTAGCTTACAGTACAGCGTTAGGGCGTCTGCTAGAGTCGCGTCCGATGCCAGCTCTGACACTGTCTCTGACTGCTTCAGCCTCCGCTCAATAGCATCCTGAAATGTAAGCGGCAGCAAGACAATAAGGATACAATAGATGAGAAAAAGACAAATAAAATCGATATAAGACAAGACAATAATAAATTGTATAATCTAGTTGTGATGGTATTGTGCTAGTGTGCAGCACTGCTACTGGAAATAATCATACACTTGTATAGCACATATACAGGGATGAGATTGGATATTTTAATTTTCAGCTGAAATTTTAATTAGCACACAG